AGGGAGGGAGGGAAAGAGGGAGGGAGGGAAGGAGGGAGGGAGGGAGGGAGGGGGGAGGGAGGGAGAAATATAAGAAAGAAAGAAAGAAAGAAAGAAAGAAAGAAAGAAAGAAAGAAAGAAAGAAAGAGAAGATAGAAAGAAAGAAACTCAGTATAAAGACTTGCCCAAAATCACGTGACAGGTTGTGGCTGAGGTGTAACTAGATCCCTGCTCGGTCCAGTAAATACTGGACCTCTGCTGAGCTTTCTGACAAGGGCTTTCCTGAAGGAAGCAGCTTCTAGAAGTTAAATGTTCTGACTCCAAACAGGATTTCTATCTGCCCAGGTGGAAGACAGGCAGCCAGGAGCTGGTTTCCTGGTACCCTGAACATCCTGTTGCTGTGGGACATGGTCCTCCAAACGCCTTCCTCAGCTGCCCTGATCTGCTTTGGCCAGTAACCACAAACCGGTGGTCACTCAAGGCGTGGGTGAACTTGAGTCACAACTGCCAGCTGCCTTCGCACTCCCCGCTGCCACTGGCTGGCATCCTCTTCTAAGCTGGACTCTGGGGTAAGCATTCTCTGGTGGGAAGGGAAATGTGGGGCAAGAGTCACTGGCATAGGGTCGGGGGTTGGAACAGGGGAGTAGAGAGGAAGGAGCAGGGGGGAAGGTGGGAGTTGGAAAAGGATTATATTGTCATTCATCCCACCCTTGTCCTGTTATTCCAAAGTGAAATGCTGAAATGAAAACAGGGCTGTTATTTATTGAGTGATGTGCCAGGCATACTACTCTTTTTGTGTGCACACCCAGTTGTTCTCAGGGCTGACTCCTGATTCTGCTCAGGGGTCACTGCTAGAGGGGCTTAGGAGACTAACCAAATGGGATGCTGGGAACCAAATCCAAGTCAGCCATATCCAAGGCAAGTGCCTTATCCAATGTACTATCACTCCAGCCCTGAAGGCATATTATTCTTACCAACATCCTGTAGCAGGTCAATTATCCCCACTTGAACCTGCTTCTGATAATATCAACAAAAAGAATTTCATATATAGCGTATTCAGACACTTTAAAATCATCACCATGGTTATTGTGTTGAAATTAGGCAAAAGGGAGGGGTACCTCGATAAAATCACGGAACCCACAGGGGTATAACTCAAAAGTTTAGTGCACATGTCTGAATCCTGTGATAGGTTCCCCAATGCTGCCTGCTACCCTAAGCACCGCCGGGAGCAACCAACCCAACCATGCACCAGAGTAGCCCATAGGCACCACTAGGCATGCCCCCCAAACAAACTAGCAAACCAAAAATCAAAAGCAGTAAGTCCATACCTCTGAAATTAATATAATGTTATATTTCAAGTATATGTGATGAGAATGGGGAGCCTCGTAAAGGACTACTGTAGTGTAGTAGACTAAGCAAAGGATATTTTTGCTTATTTTGTTTATTTGTTTTGTTTTGTTTTTTTATTTGGGGGCCACACCAGATGCTCAGGGCTTACTTTTGGCTCTGCACTCAGCAATCATCCCTGCAAGGGATCATACAAACAGATGGGATGCCAGAAACATCCACCCTGGGTTAGCCACATGCAAGCCTAGTGCCCTCTCTGCAATACTATCTCTCCAGCCCAGTGCCAGATTCTTTTAAGTGTAAATCAGATGAGTTCGCCACTTGGCATCTTTCCTAACCAGTTTTAGCTCTCTGTGGGCTTATCGCTCTGTAGGCTTGTCCTGTTGTCACTCATCATTTTGTTTCCTCTTTGTTTCTATACCCTCAAAATCAGTGATGATAATGGTGATGATTGCTTTGTATGTATGTTTCTGTTTTAATTTATTTATTTTGATCATGCATTGGTCAACTTATCTACACACACCTCCTTCTTCTCTCTGTGGAATTTGCTTCTTTGGATGTATCTTTCACGTGCCTTCAGAGAAGATCTGTTAGCACATCATCCTACTTATATTCCTTTACTTTGAATGATAGTTTAACTTTTCCCTCCACTGTCTTCTTGGCTACTGTTATTGCTATTGGAAAATCTACTTTAAAACGAAATTATAAGGGCTGGAAAGACAGTACAGTGAGGAAGGTGCTTTGCCTTGCTAGAAGCCAACCCAGGTTTGGGCTTCAGCACTGCATATGTTTGAGCAGCACTATCAGGAGTGATCTCTGAGCACAGAGCCAGGAGTAAGCCCAAAAACTAAAAAAGATCACTTGATCACTTGACTTCCCGTTACTCATCGATTTGCTTGAGCAGGCTCCAGTAACGTCTCCATTCATCCCTGTCGCGTACTAGTGTAGCCCAGTGGCGTCTGTTCATTCTAGGAACATGAAGAACTTCAAACCGATCATTCAGGGTCTTGACGAAGAAATCTGACCATCTTGTAGGTGGGTGGCCATGTGGTCTTTTGACGTCCCGTGGAATCCAGTCGGTAACAGCTCTAGCCCAGCAGTCATCTCTAAATCTCATTACGTGTCCAGCCCATGGGCTGGACACGTAACAAAGAAAATCGTTTAAATTATGCTTGCTGGACACATTAAAAAGAAATTTTTTTAAATTATGCTTGCTTGACACATTAAAAAGAAATTTTTTAAAATTATGCTTGCTCTTCAGATATTGTGCCATCTCTTCCTGAGAGTTTTTATTGTTTTTCTCTTGTCTCGGGAATTCCAAAGATTTGTTAAGATATATGTGGGTATAGAACTAATTTACTTTTAAAATTCTATTTGTGAATCTGGGATGTGGTAAAACATATATCCCACACATATGAGACTCTGGATTCTGTCCCCCCAAAAGAAGTCATGATATAAGTGACTTGCTTCCGCAAATGACGTTGGTAGAAGAAGTGGGAGTGAGGGAAGTAGTAGCCTCAGTAGAGAGTGCTCCCACCTTCCTGTTCCACTACCTCAGACTCCCTGAAGTAGTGCCTAGTTTGGAGTGGTAAAGTCGTCATGGGTACCTACCTGGCCTGGATTCTGGTATCCCACCAGCCCCGCTGAGTGGCCATTAAGCTGTACTTGGTCTCCACCTGCAGTTCTCTGGGAGCCATGGCCCAAATTGGAATGAGGAGTTAATTGCCCTTCACAGGAAAAGGAAAGTAAGTCCTGACCTCCACCAGAATCTTGGGCCTATCATTTACTTTCACAGAAAATAAACTTTAGAATGAGATGAACAGTGAAATAAAACAGTTTTCTTTATACAAAGAGGGAGCAGAAGAGGAAGAGGGAGAGAGAGAGGGAGAGAGGAGTGGGGGGGGCACCCAAGAAAAAACAAGGCTTCTCCAGAAGAGAGAGCGTCCAGAGCACACATACAAGCCAACCCTAGGATGAGGCTGAGACCTGCTTGCCTGTGCTGAATTGGTTTAACATGTTTACCCCCAATTTCCCCAGTCGGGGCTTTCCATGTAGATAAGAATCTGTCACTAGGAAGCTTTTAAGGGAAGGAGCTTCTTTCAACTTCTTATCACAGCCTTTTTTTTTCTGAGGAAACTTCTCTGAGGGGTTCCAGCCTTCTCCAGAACATCGCTGACACCAGTTGAATCATATGGGCCTTGGTTCCTCTGTCTGGAGAGGTGGTCTATCTTCGTGCTTTTGAGACTACTTTAGGAATAATGGCAGAGTGACTTCTTTAGATCCCATCTTGGCTTGCTTCCTGACTCATTGCCAGTTACCCCTAACCATTTATTTGTCTTCCTGTTTCAGTTATAAAAAAAAATTCTAGGACCTGAGTGATAATACAGTGGATAGGGCACTTGTCTTGCATGTGGCTGACCCAGATTAGACCATCGGCATCTCATGTGGTTCTCTGAGCCTGACAGGAGTTAATACTGAGTGCATGCAGTAAGTTCTGAGCATCACCAGGTATTCCCACGCCATTCCCCCGCCCCTGGCAAAAAAAAATTAGGGACTAGGGTACAGTGCTTAATGAGTTTGCCTTGCACACAACCAATCCTAGTTTGGTCCCTGGCACTGAATGCTGTCCCCCAAGCACCACCAAAAATAATGCCTTAGAACTGCCAAGTATAGCCCCCCCAACAAAAACTCATGAAAGTTCTATTCAGAGTTCACTGTGATGAATCTGAGGAGTCATATCCAGGATAGTCCTGAATATTTAATTTTTAGCCAAGTTTCCATATTCTGACAGCCAAATCAATTTTGAAATAAAAATCTGTCTTTTATCCCTAAGTAGTTGTTAAAATGTCAGCATCAGGACTGGAGAGATAGTGCAAGAAGAAAGGTGCTTTCCCTGTATTCAGTCAACTCCTGTTTCACTGTATATGATCCCCTGAGCACCACCAGGAGTGATCCCTGAGCACAGAATCAAGAGTAAGTCCTGAACTCTCATGTGTCCCAAATTCCTCCTCCACAAAATGTGAGCATCATATCAAAACTGGCAAACCAAACCTAACGAAACCCCTCATGCAAAAAAAAAAATACTTCAACAATGGAGCTAGAGCTACAGTACAGCAGGTAGGGCATTTGCCTTGCACAGGGCTAACCCAGGTTCAATGCCCAGCACCCTAATTAGTCCCCTTAGTCCTGCCAGAGCTGATCTCTGCGTGCAGAGCCAGAAGAAAGCCCTGAGTGTTGCTGAATGTAGCAAAAACAAAATAAAACAAAACAAAAAAAAATAACACAAAAACAAAACATTTCAACATAACTCTTTTTTTTTTTTTTTAGTTTTAATTTCTTCTTGATTTTTCGACTCTAGATTTATCTTGTTTTCAAAGAGAAGTGTTAGGGTTAAAAGCAAAAAGCCCCCAAGCTCATAAGCCACTTCTGCTTCTTAAATTTCTACATCACTCCCGAGTACAAACTCAATGCCCTATTAGAATATAGAAGAACCAAATATAGAGGAACAAAGCATGAGTGCTATTTCAACACATGATCTGTCCACACAGGTCTGGCTTGGGTTAGAGTTACTGAGTATATGAGGTCAATATTGCATAACTGAAAAGGTCATTTCTTCTCATTGTACTGCAGCACGGGCTTCTTAGAGAGTCCAGTAGAAACGGAGGCACACACCCATGGAGAAATGCTGGGTGACAGAGGCAGCCAACGGCTCCATGAATGGATTGGATTTCAACCCCATGAAGGAGTACATGGTCCTGAGTAGTTCCCAGAAGGTCGCTGTGGCGGTGCTATGCACCAGCCTGGGCCTGGTCAGTGCCCTGGAGAACCTGGCTGTGCTCTACCTGATCCTGTCCACCCGCCGGCTCCGCAGGAAGCCCTCCTACCTGTTCATTGGCAGCTTGGCTGCAGCTGACTTCCTGGCTAGTATCATCTTTGCTTGCAACTTTGTAAGTTTCCATGTCTTCCATAATATGGATTCCAAGGCCATGTTCCTGCTGAAGATAGGCAGCGTGACCATGACCTTCACTGCCTCTGTAGGCAGCCTGCTGCTGACCGCCATTGACCGTTACCTCTGTCTGTGCCACCCATTAGGATACAAGGCTCTACTCACCCTTGAGAGGGCTCTGATGGCTCTGGGCATCACGTGGTTCCTCTCAGCATTCGTCTCCTACCTGCCCCTCATGGGGTGGACTTGCTGTCCCCGTCCCTGCTCTGAGCTTTTCCCACTGGTCCCCAGTAACTATCTGTTGGGCTGGCTTCTGTTCATCGCCTTCCTCTTCTCGGGCATCATCTATACCTATGGGCATGTCCTCTGGAAGGCCCATCAGCATGAGGCCAGCCTGGCTGAGTACCAGGATGGGCATGTGCCAGGAATGGTCCGAATGAGACTGGATATGAGGTTGGCCAGGACCCTAGGCTTAGTGCTGGCTGTGCTTTTCCTGTGCTGGCTTCCCGTCTTGGTCCTCATGGTCTACAGCCTGGCTGCCACTCTAAGTGACCAGGTCAAGAAGGTCTTTGCTTTCTGCTCTTTGCTCTGCCTGGTCAACTCCATGATCAACCCAATCATCTATGCGCTGAGGAGCGGGGAGATCCGTTCCTCTGCTCACCACTTTCTGGCTCGCTGGAAGAAGCACATAAGGGGCCTTGGGTCTGAAGGACAAGACGATGTCCAGAAGTCCTCCCTCTCTGAGACAGTGGCAGATGGAAAAATCACCAAGAGGACAGATTCCAAAGAGCTCTTCTGATCTGACTGCTGAGGAAGCATCTTTCTCAGTTTGAAGCAAGCCAAGTCAGAAATTAATTCACTCTCCAGAGGAGAGAGTGAGATCCTGGCCCTCTTACCTGAAGCCATCCTGGAGGCTGGACACTTAACCTTTGGTTGAAAGGTATAGGGACTGCCCCCTAGAGGACAGTCTGACTATGCTGCTCCACACAGTGGGTCGCATAGTCACTAGGCTCCAAGAGAAATGGCAAGGTGGGCAGGAGGCAAAAGGCCAGGAGCAGGGCCTAGAGTGATAGTACAGCGGTTAGGGGATTTGCCTTGCATACAAACCACCTGGGTTTGATCCCTGAAACCCTAAGCCCTGCCAGGAATGATCCCTGAGCACAGAGCCAGGAGTAACCAACCTCTGAACATTGCCAAGTGTAGCCCAAAAATTTAAAAGTAAACAAACCAAAGGGCTCAGATCAGGCTCAGTGCACATCAGTCAGGAAAACCTTCCAACAAAATGGCCTAGTGGCCACCTATAAGACCAGAGATGCCTTCAGGTTCAGCCATAGACTTGGAGGAAATCTGAGAATGATGAATGAATCTCTCAGGATCTCTGGATATCCAGTGAGATGTCTGGCTAGCCTTCTTCCTGCTTAATTGTGGCCACCTTATTTCTGGGCCTTTGAGAGTCTCACCTTCAGCTCACTCTTCCATAGGGAGATGGGGTTAGGGGCTATGTTTAAGGAGGACCAGACATGGATCCATCTCATTTAGAGCCTCCAGTTCAGTGCGTCTTGATATTAGGGGGTGCCCCTGGCTGACACTCCCCTCTCACAGACTCTTGACCCCTTAAGTCCCTAGGTAATACAGGGGGTGTGGAGCAGGAATTACTGGATACACACAATCTTCATCTTTATGACTTTGTGAATTCCTGTCTGGAGTTAGGCAGTGTCCCAACTCCAAGCGGAAGAAAGCTATTCACAAAGATGTTATGAGTCCCCAAACATTCCCAGTCATCCCTCATTTCAGTTTCTTGTCCCCTCCACATATGATAAGATAACCAGAGCCAGTGGAGGAGGGATAAATTCCCTTCAAATGTTCAAGGCACGGGGTTGACAAGCCACCATCCTGTGTCGCCAACAAGAATTCAGTTCTGTGTTTTTGTAGTGTAACGTGCCAAAGTAGCCGGATCAGAAAGCTTGATTCCTTCTGAAAGGACTTCAAACAGTAGGAAAGAGAAATTGTTGATGGTGGAAATGATTGCAGATAAATATGCATATAATTATTTCATATGGAATAAAAATAAAGCAATTAAATGTGCCTCCATTTCATAGTTCCAAGGCAACATGTCACTCACAAGTCATTCTCTCATTCATACATCGCACAAATACAGGTTGTCTCTGTCCCCCGTCCTGCAAACTCAGCCATAAAAGAGATACGAATCCTGCCTCAGAGGCTAACATTGTAGATTCTGATAAAGAGAGTCAATAAATGGAAGAGATGATTTACTGGGGCCAGAGAGCTAGCACAACGAGTAAGACATTTGCCTTGTACAAGCCCGACCCAAGTTCAATCCCTGACTCCCCAGATGGCCTCCTGAATCTGCCAGTAGTGATCCCTGAGTGCAGAGCCAGGAGTCAGCCCTGAGCTCTACAGGTGTGTCCCCCCCCCCACACACATACACACCACATACACACACACACACACAAAGAGAATATTGAAACAAGGAAGGAAGTCATCAGGGTCATGTGATAGGAATGTGATGAGTCAAGTTTGAGTGGAGTAGATTTACTGTGTGCTATGCTCTCAAATGCTGGCTGGCTCTTATTGAACATTGCTTTGTATCAGGCACAGAGTCAAGTGTTATTAAACACCATCTTTCATTTAATCTTCATAATAACCTGACGAAGATGTTCTTGTATCCTGATTTTATAGATGATGAAACTCTAAGAGGTAAAATCATTACCTGAGGACACTCTGTTCCTATGTACTGAGGATAACATTGGTATGCCCATTCTCTTCTGCCACAGGGAGCTTAGGTTTTTAGGGTGATATCATCACAGTGCTCCTGAAGCACCTCCATTCCTCTGTGTTTATTGGAATGTAGGTCTCAACATGTTAGGATGACACTGGCATATCCTGTTTCCCTTGCCACAAGGAGCTCAGGTTTATCACAGTGCTCCTGAGGAACTTCCATTTCACTGTGTTTATCTGTAAACTCCTCTATGCTTTCTTCCCCAACCAGTCTATCACCTTTTTCCTCCAATCAGACTCTGTTAACTTGTAAGATCAAATTCCTCAGAAATACATGATTTTATATGTATGAGCGAAATATTGTCTCTCTCCTCTCCTTAAGTCTTTTGAATAGTTTAGAGCAATGTCCTTTTCATATAGACACAGGAGGACAATTAATATAATGCTTTTGTAACTTGGGAGTTAAGACTCCGAATAACATTCCCTCCTGGGCATCTATCTGCTTTCTTGACTCAAGCCTCAGTTGCTCTTAGTTCCTAGCACCCCAAAAGCAGGGTCCCGATGAGGGACTGAATGGACCCAGGGTAAGCTGTGAGCTACCCTGGCATCGAAATGGGCCAGGTCAAAGCGCCACGAAACTCAACTATATGTTGAGAGCATGGTCATAGACAAATGCTGTCATGATCCAAAAGTGACAAGAAGATTAGGACCCTGCTAAGGATAGGAAGGACTAATTTGGCCTGAGCACTGTAGTCTGAGATGGAGGTGACCCCAAGAGAGCAATTCTATAAACTTATTGTATCTCTTACTGTGTTCATACAAAATGATTATTATGAATGTTTATATGTTTGCTGGACTAAGGAGAAGAGAAACACACCCATATTTGCCTTTAGGCCAGTCATCTTGCTAGATAAGAATCTGTCCTGGAAGTAGCTTCCCCTGAGGGAAGGACCTTACATCTGCTGATTGTATGATGATCCCTATGTGTAATTGTTACTCCAACCCTTCATGCTGGGGGATTTAACTAGGCTGTAAGAGGGGACTGGGGGATTCCAGAGCCAGAAGGAGAATGAAGTGGAATAAACTGCAACTGACACCAACCAGCCTGACCGTTGTTTGCTCCTTTGCCTCCCCGGGGTGGGGGAAGTGGGCTGAGACTGCCGACCACAGGCAGCGGGAAAGATAGAGCACCACTGCCCCTTTGTGTTTACACAATGTACCAAAGCTGAAGTTTACAATTCAGTTCTTGTGAATCCAATATGCCCTCTGTTTTTTTGTGGGTTAATGGGTGGGATCCACACATGGTGGTGCTCAAGGAGTATTCCTGGTTCTGTGCTAAGGAATGACCCCTGTGGTGCTCAGGAACTCATATATGATCCCGGAGGTGGTTGAACCAGAGTCAAGGTCATAGCAGCTGCATGCATGGCAAGTGCCTTTTCTCCTTTACTACCTCTCCTGCCTTTTTTTTTTTAAAATAATGTAGGAGTACTGCTATTTGTTCAGCCATTGATTAAGCTGATTGAATTGGGCATGAACTCTACATTACTTTTTTATTGTATTGTATCACCGTGTACGGCAAAGCCTGGCAAGCTACCTGTGACGTATTCGATATGCCAAACACAGTAACAACAAGTCTCACAATGTTACTGGGCCCGCTTGAGCAAATCGATGAACAATGGGAGGACGGTGCAACAGTGCAGTATCACCGTGAGATAGAGTTACAAAGCTTTCATGTTTGAAATTCAGTCATACAATGATGAAACACCCATTCCTCCGCCGGTGCACATTTTCCACCACCAATATCCCAAGTATCATCGCCCTCACATACATACACATTGCAGTCCTCACCCTGCCTCTACGGCAGACAATTTCCCCAATACTCTCTCTCTAATTTGGGGCATTAATTTTGCTCAAATTTTTCTACCACCATTCAAGCCTACCTGCCAGGGGCAGACACTAGATAATATATTTTCCATAGCTCATTTAAAATATCACGAGAGCACGAGAGCTCATGCAGGAGCAATTGTAAATGTAAATTTCTAGATTGTAAATGAGTTCCAGAGACATCTCTGTATGGCACGAATCCATTTTGGGATTCAATTGGGAGCCTCTGGGCCAGGACTGTTGGTGCGCTAAGATGGTATCTGGAGGCAAATTGTGGGCGTGACAGCCAGTCTTCTGGGCAGGTGGTGACCTGGGGAGGGACACCCCAGTTCCTCTGCCACCATGCAGCCTGGAGATTTAGTCCTTAGCCCACACACCTGAACCTTGCTTTGAAAGCTCTTGGTCACTGGGATTCCATCTGGGGAGCAGATGGACCGCTCCATCTGGGGTGTCCCAGTGATATTGGCTCGGTATGGGGCCTGGAGAGATCTCCAGTGCTGTAATGTCATCTGGAACTTACTTCTATGTCTCTAGGCCAGGGCTGTTGATGTTCTAAGATGGTGCCCAGAGGCTAATTGTGGGCATAACAGTCTCCTGGTCTTTTAACAATTATTATTCTTAAGTAACAGAATGGGAGACTAATATCCAAGAATAGTTGACATAAGTACCAGGAGGATTACTCCACAGTTTAGAAACCGGCCTCCCATGCAGGGACAAAAAGGCAGCTCAGATAGAGATGGGACCACCAAGTAAAGGGTACTAGGATGGCCCACTCGAGATGGGAGATGCAGGCTGAAAGTAGACTATAGACCAAACATGATGGCCACTTAATACCTCTATTGCAAACCACATCACCCAAAAGGAGAGAGAGAACAAAAGGGAATGCCCTGTCACAGAGGTAGGTTGGGGTGGAGGGGATGGGGTGGGGTGGGGGTGCTGGGAAGGATGCTGGAACCATTGGTGGTGGAAAATGGGCACTGGTGGAGGGATGGGTGCTCGATCATTGTATGATTGAAAAGCAAGCATGAACGTTTGTAAGTCTGTAACTGTACCTCACGGTGATTCACTAATAAAAAATAAAATAATTAAACAATCTAAAAAAAAATTATTCTTAATTTGGGCCACACTCAGCTGTGTTCAGGGTTTACTCCTGACTCTGTACTCAGGGATTACTAC